AAAGTTGACAACATCTACGCCCACAACAAATTGTGTTCTACTCGCGCAAGAAGAACTACGCATAGACCTAGCTCATGATGCCACTGTTGGGGAACGTTGCAGAAAACAAAAAAAATTCCTACGGTTTCACCAAGATCCATCTATGAGTTCATCTAGCAACGAGTGATCGGATGCATCTACATACCTTTGTAGATCGCGAGCGGAAGCGTTCAAAGAACGGGGATGAGGTAGTCGAACATGACGTGATCCAAATCACCGGAGATCCTAGCACCGAACGGACGGCACCTCCGCGTTCAACACACGTACGGTCAGCGTAACGTCTCCTTCTTCTTGATCCAGCAAGAGGGAAGGAGAGGTTGAGGAAGATGGCTCCAGCAGCAGCACGATGGCGTGGTGGTGATGGAGCTGCAGTACTCCGTCAGGGCTTCGCCAAGCGCTATGGAGGAGGAGGAGGTGTTGGAGAGGGAGAAGGAGGCAACCAAAGGCTTGGATGAAAAGCCCTCCTTCCCCACTATATATAGGAGGGCCAAGGGGGGGGGGCACCGGCCCTAGGAGATCCAATCTCCTAGGGGGGCGGCGGCCAAGGGAGGTTTCCCTGCCCCCCAAGGCACCTAGGAGGTGCCTTCCACTAGTGGGACTCTTCCCTTTTGTGAACCCTAGGTGCATGGGCCTCTTGGGGCTGGTGCCCTTGGCCCATGTAGGCCAAGGCGCACCCCCTACAACCCATGTGGCCCCCCGGGGCAGGTGGACCCACCCGGTGGACCCCCGGGACCCTTCCGGTGGTCCCGGTACAATACCGATGACCCCGAAACTTGTCCTGATGGCCGAAACAGGACTTCCCATATATAAATCTTTACCTTCGGACCATTCCGGAACTCCTCGTGACGTCCGGGATCTCATCCGGGACTCCGAACAACATTCGGGTTACTGCATATACATATCCCTACAACCCTAGCGTCACCGAACCTTAAGTGTGTAGACCCTACGGGTTCAGGAGACATGTAGACATGACCGAGATCGATCTCCGGTCAATAACCAACAGCGGGATCTGGATACCCATGTTGGCTCCCACATGCTCCTCGATGATCTCATCGGATGAACCACGATGTGGAGGATTCAAGCAACCCCGTATACAATTCCCTTTGTCAATCGGTATGTTACTTGCCCGAGATTCGATCGTCGGTATCCCAATACCTCGTTCAATCTCGTTACCGGCAAGTCACTTTACTCGTACCGTAATGCATGATCCCGTGACCAGACAATTGGTCACTTTGAGCTCATTATGATGATGCATTACTGAGTGGGCCCAGTGATACCTCTCCATCATACGGAGTGACAAATCCCAGTCTTGATCCGTGTCAACCCAACAGACACTTTCGGAGATACCCGTAGTATACCTTTATAGTCACCCAGTTACGTAGTGACGTTTGGCACACCCAAAGCACTCCTACGGTATCCGGGAGTTACACGATCTCATGGTCTAAGGAAAAGATACTTGACATTGGAAAACTCCAGCAAACGAACTATACGATCTTATGCTATGTTTAGTATCGGGTCTCGTCCATCACATCATTCTCCCAATGACGTGATCCCGTTATCAATGACATCCAATGTCCATAGTCAGGAAACCATGACTATCTGTTGATCAACGAGCTAGTCAACTAGAGGCTTACTAGGGACATGTTGGTGTCTATTATTCACACATGTATTACGATTTCCGGATAATACAATTATAGCATGAATAAAGACAATTATCATGAACAAAGAAATATAATAATAATGCTTTTATTATTGCCTCTAGGGCATATTTCCAACAGGTCTCTCAGATGAAGTATGACAACCGGTACGGGCCGTATTACAGGAGAGCCGGGCTGTTGGGTTTCATGCTCCAGTTCAAGCATGTGTCGTCGACGCTTGTCCATGCAGCTCTCACATTGTTGGTGGACTGTTGGCGGCCCGAGACGCACTATTTCCATCTCCCATGTGGTGAGATGACGGTGACGCTCAAGGACTTCGCCATGATCACGGCCTTGCCGATCCAGGGCCATGCTCTCATTGGGCGCGCAGATAGGAAGAAGTGGCCGAACAGGGTTACCACCCTCATCGGCGACTGCCCTCCCATCAAGAGTAACATAACGTCCGGTGTACCCCTCCTTGGCTCCTGCTCCACCGGCTCGAATGCCCGCAAGATGCGGATCTGAGAACTGTGGAGGAGTATGTGAGGTCCTACATGTGGTTTCTTCTCACAAAGGTCATGTTTCCAGACTGCTCGGGGGACAACCCCCTATGGATGTACCTGGACTTCCTCGACGACTAGGGTGCAGGGTACAGCTGGGGGTCCACCGACCTCGCGTACCTCTACCGTTCGGTAAGACATCATATATCTCAATATCCGTATATGGACGTATGTGTGTGCTGCTTTAAACTATGTCACCTGATCATCAATTGTTGTTTGTAGCTGGATGACGCCACGCAGAGGACCGAGAAAATGTCTGGGATGTGTGGGTGTGTCTGGGCTCTCTCGATTTTAGAGTTGGGAGCGGCTGCCGGTTGGTCGTCCCGAGAAACTGTAACGAACTACATGGACGGACTATGACGAAGATGGCGACAATGCTCGATAACCTACCGTTGCCTACTCTTGGGACGCAGTTAAAGTCTTCTCAGGCAAGGGCAGTGCGATGTACAAGGCCTTCACCAATGAGTTGGACAACCTGACATCTTTTCAGGTATACCAACAAGCGAGCTAGTTTTTTAATGTAGTCACTTTCACGGTCGCTAAATAGTCTTTCTATAGGTTAACTAGTGCCCGTACCATGATAGGGCTTGGGGGTTCGAACTGAACCAGACGTGCAACCGAGACCGCCTTCTGTACCGGTGCATTGCACCAATGATATGCGTGTAAGCCGTCGAATGGCACCTACCACAGCGCGTGGCCACACAATTTGGCGCATTGCAGCACACACCGCCGGCACGCCCCCACGACACCGGTGGTTACAACCTTCACTGGTATGGGCTGCCATCTCTTTTATCGTGTTTTCCTTAAATTTGACGTTCTTATGGTCTTTTGTGTTTTCTTGTTTGCTATGCCCTTTGCAGGAAGAGCAGGCAACATTCACAGTCAATAGTGGAGTGGGCCGAAAGCACAAGTCTTGTGTGAAAATGTGGGACGAGAGTACGTTCTGCAAAGACCAGGAGAGGTCAGGCATAGCTGGAATGTGTACGAGAGGCACATGAATTGGTATTGATGGCATCAAGTTTCGTCTGCGTTTGAGGCCATGATGGACGGAAGCGGACATGGCATCACTATAGGAGGCGGAGGATTCTGAGGATGAAGCATAAAAGAGAAACCTCAGAGATATGCAAGGTGATTTCAGGGACTATGTACCCCTGATGAACAGAGTGGTAAATTTTGTTCAAATGCATTCAAGCCGACAGTTGGATGATGCTGACATGGTCATTAATGATCCTTACCTTTTGCAGGCCGCGAAGTTGAATAGAAACATTTTTTATGGCTCGAATGCACTAAGTTCTGACCCTGGAACCTTGGAGGGTGACAGCAAGATGAGGGAAGCGATGAAGGTAACTTTAAGCCTCATGGCATTCTATTCGAGCAACCACAAATTTGATTTATGCCATGTTCTTACTTATTTGCAACCCTAAGTCTGATCCAAGCCATTCTCTTCTATATTTGTTTTCGCAGAAGATCATGAACCGTTGTCGCAGGCTAGCGGGCATGCTTGGGTGCGCTGCCTTGATTGACGTGCATGTTCCTGCTCCTGGTGGGTCGACACGTGCCCTGGCTTCATCAAGCCACGCCGAAGGAGGTTCCTCGAGCCATGCCGCCTCGTCGTCTCGCCTTGTTGACGAGACCGAGGAAGAAGATGATCAGAGAGAAGAGGACGAGGAGGAAGAGGGAGAAGAGGAAGGAGGTGACGACGAAGGAGGTGATGAGGAGGAGTACAATGACGATGACGGGTCTCCACCGACTCAGCCAACCCAGGGGAAGAGGGTATCTCATCCACACCAGGATGTTTTGCGCCCATCCCCGTTTCAGAAACCGCTTCCTTGTCATCGCCCGAAAAAGCCGGACGAAGGCCGCTTGAAGAGAAACAAGGAGTGTGCCGCTAAGAGGGGGAGGAACTAGAGTGTGAACTTGCTTAGTTAAACTAGTTGTGCCATGCTAAAGTACTCAGTTTTGTGTTATAGCTACCTATTTTACTATGTTGAACCTATTTATATGTTGAACTTTTGGGTGCGTCGATTTGCTGTCTATAATGTGTGAGGACATCATATTTTTCATATCCAAACAATATTTGCTGCTGTCTGTTTATCTGTCATATGCAAACACTATTTTCATATTTGTAATTCAAATGGTCAAATTCTTGTAAAAAAAAGTGAGAAGCCTGCCGCAAGGCACATGGCGGTAGGTTTTCACAGCTGCCTGGCGGTAGGATATGAAAACCTACCGCACGGCTCCTTTTTTCAGTCACAGAATGCTTCCACTCTTGGCACATCCTATCACCGTTGGGTGTGACCGTAGGGTGTGAAAACCTACCGCACAAACTTTGCCATTTTCTGTCACAGAAAGTTTCGCCTGCACAGGTGCGCCACACCCTACTACCACCCTCCTCGGCGGTAGCTTTAGCCACCCTACCGCCTTATGCCTTGGCGGTAGGGTAGTTAGGACACGTCAGACCCATAAACAGCGGGTGACGGAGGATGCCGTTATCCTACTGCCGGTGACTACGGCGGTAAGAAAAATGATCAGATTCCGAAGTTTTTTCAGACGAGATCAGATTGTTCAAAACTCAAACAAAAGGGTCAAAACAGGAAATTTTGCCACCCCTCGCCCCCATCCATCGCCGTCTCCAACTATCGGGTTATGGCTACCGGACAGTTAACAGCGCGGCAGTCCCTCCATTTATAACCTCTCATCCCATCTCCCTCCATATTCCCAGATACCACTATCCGCAACTCAAAGCGAACTACTAGGACGAGCCATGGACGACGACATCGACAGCTCCTGCTCCACCCCTTTCGCCAGCGCGCCGTCCAGCCCCGGCCGCTCCCCTTCCATCTTCGGCGGCGGCGGCGGCGGCGGCGGCTATTTTTTCAGTGCACCGGCCAGCCCCATCCACCACCTGTTGTTCTCGTCCTCCTCGGCCGCCGCTGGTGCCCCTAATGGCGGCGGGTACGGTGGACTAGGTGACGCGGAGTTCGAGTTCGGCGGCCCTGGCGAGCACATGATCTCTGCTGACGAGCTCTTCCAGAACGGCCAGATCCGGCCGCTCACCCTGTCCCCGCTCCCGGATCTCGACCCCGACAGCGAAGAAGATGACAGCGAACGGCGCCACGGCCCCGCGCGCGGCCGCGAGCCCACGTTCCGGAGCGGCTCCGTGCACCGCCGCGCCCGGTCGATGTCCCCGATGCGCAGCCCGTCCCCGCGGCTCAAGCTTCTCAGTGCGCTCGTCCCCGCGCCGGATCTTGGCTCCGTGTCCCTCTCGACTGGGGCGCAGGAGGCCCCGCCGCCGGTCACCGCCTCGTCGCGCTCCTCCTCGTCCTCGTCGACCTCCTCCTCGTCGTCCGCGTCGTCCGCCCGCGGATCCCGGCGGTGGGTTATCCTCAAGGACATGCTCCTCCACCGCAGCAAAAGCGAGCCCGGCAGCGCCCATGCGCACGAAGCCCCTGCGGCCGCCGCCAAGCCGGAGAAGGCATGGCAGTTCTCGCCTTCGTGGGCGTCGAGGGACAAGGTCATCGCGAAGCTGCGCGGGGCGAGGCCATCACCGCAATCGGAGACGGGAGCGGCGGCCAGCGGCGGCGCCGGTGAGGGCGACGAATCCCGGACGACGCGGAGCCAGGGCAGGTCCAAGGGTCGGCGGCGCTCAACGACGGTGGCGGCCGCGCACGAGAGGCTTTACGCGGCGCCGAACAGGGCGCAGGCGGAGGAGATGCGGCGGCGGACGTTCCTGCCGTACCGGCAGGGCGTGCTCGGCTGCCTCGGCTTCAGCTCCCGCGGCTACGGCGCGCTCCGCGGGTTCTCGAAAACCCTCAGCCCCGTCTTCTCCCGGTAAAAGTAAAGAAGCACTCCAGAAATCCCCCAAAAATATGGAAAAGCAGAGAGCAAAACAAGAGCTTAAATAATGGCCATTGCTACTGTTGCCGGTTAATTTAAAAAAATAGTATTAGTAATATTCGTTCTTCTCTGTAATATGCGAGTATTGTCTTTTGTAAGTTGTTGCGTGTTCTGTATAGAGGCAGGCAGTGGGCGTGAGAAATCCCCCAAGTTCGTTTGGAGGTGTTGGTAGTTGTGAGAAGTCACATCAACTCGTCCATCAGAAGGGCGCAGTTGGATAAATTTGGCGCGAAAGCAAAAAAATACCACTACATTATGCTATTTTTGTGTGCCCATGTCTTTCGCTCAAGTATATGGCCCTCTTTGATTCGCAGGATTTTCAAAACGTAGGAATAGGAAAAATATAGGATTGGAATGGCATGCACACATGAATCCTACAGGATTAGCATAGAGTGTTTGATGGCCCAGGAAAAGCAAAGGAATTGTAAAAAGAGGTTGAAGTAGATGTTAGATTTCCTATGAAATGTAGTACAAAAAATTTCATAGGAAAAATTCCTATGAGATCCAATCCTATGAATCAAAGGATCAACATAGGAAAAATTCTTAAGGGTTTCATCCTTCAGAAATTCTATAGAATTCCTTTGAATCAAAGGAGCCCTATAATTGTACACGCATGTTCCCGCGAACAACGAATTTGCCCACGAGTTGTTACTCCCCATGCTATGTTTGCACTTCTGGACATAGCAACGCACCGAACAGACTTTAATCTAGGCAGAAACCGTGACGAGCATATCCAGCTGGTACTACATATGGGTAACTTTTGATCAGAGGTCCTCTGACCCAGCTTATGACTTTTAATTCTTGGAAATGGTGTCGCCAGATTTGCTTTGGGAGAGCCGTGTGGTTTCTGCAAAGCGGCAGCCCCGTCTTTGCACCTCCTTTACGCCGCTCGCCCTCTTTTCCGAATCAGTACGAAACAAAAAGATCGCACACGTACACCGATTTGTTTATAAAATCTCAAAGATTCACAGCTAGCCACGAGCGAAGGAGCAGCCTTGCACGATCTCCCGCCTCGAGACTCCCCATGGAATGAGGTGGCGTTGCCGTGGTCGACAAGCCGGGTCGGGCTCTCGTGCTGGGAGCCCTGCACGCACTATGCTGCAGGGCCAACCAGTCACGTCCACCTGTCCCCGTAGGCCCCACAACCTACTAAATACATTCTCGCTTCTCTAAATTTACTCAAAATTCTCTCTCTTACCTTATCCCGGCGGCGGCCATTATTCTACAGAGTTAGAGCTTCTGCAAGAGAGGATTCCCCAAGGTGAGGTCTGCAGCTCGTGGTCGTGGCCTTGGCCGGCGGTAATACGGGAGCTTTCGTCGCTAGCGCCACCCGACTCCGGTGAGCCCAAGCCCGAGTCAATGTAGCGGTAGCTGCTCGCGTGCCGCCATTCCCGATCTGAGCCGACCAGCTACCTGTGAGAAGGTGGAACTGAAGGGCGTGCGGGCGCCAGGCGATGAGCTGGGTGGAGCATTGATTCGCCGAGATGCTGCAGGAGGACGTGGAGGCGCACATCAAGATTGAACCTCGATGCAAGCTCCACAAGCAGAGGCGAGTAGTATTTCAACTCACCGGACGGGAAGAGTGTATACTGTATACACATTCACTGATGTTAACCCATATGTACGAACTGAAGTTTGATGTCCTGCTTCACCTATCCATATGTCTCTGTTTTCGATCACCTAATTGCAGTTAAGCTCCAGAAAATCATCATAATGCAGCGGATCACGCTAGTCACGCTCGGGCTGGGGGAGGAACAAGAACCCATGCTCTCGCCCAAGTAGACGAGCAGCTCCCGGCGTGAAGTCCCTTTCGGTAAAACGTGTATCGGCCATGATTGCTATGTTGTGAATGATGTTGGCGTCGTCACTGTCATTCTGCCAGCATCGCCGTGCTCCAACAGCCATGGTCGCCCGTCGACGCGGCTAGCTGAGCACTTTCCAAGAATCCTCGTAGGCTGCAGAGACCGGGTGCTTCGGCGCGAGGCCATAGTCGACTGACATAGCCAGCACACCGGCCTTCGAGATGATGGAGTTGAGGTGCCGGTGATACATCTCCGACGCGGCGGAGCCGACGACCAGGCCGTCGCCGGGATCAGGAAAGAGAGAAAATTTTGAGTAAACTAAAAGAAACGAAAATGTGTTTAGTAAGTTGTGGGGCCTACGGGAACAGGTGGAGGCGACTGGTTAGCCCTGCAGCATAGTGCGTGCAGGGCTCCCAGCACGAGATCCCGACCCCGACAAGCCCATGGCTGGTTGTGGTTGGAACGGTGTGGATCAGGAGCAGTAGGCATGTAGGAGTACGCACCCCTGGGTGGTGTTTGGCACGGCGTACTGGCCGGTAGGGCCATAAATAAATGTAGATGGATGGATGGATGGGCGCACATGGGAGGAGGGGGGGCAAGCGCTGGCACGTGCCGTGTCGGGCAGATGGCCGAGTCCGTCGACCTCTTCCTCCCCGCGGCCGCCGCATCATTGGGGGCGTTTCCAGATCCAGAAGAGAACGCGCGTGCTGACAAAGGACAGCGTACGGGACACCTCGCCCGCCGCGTCGGCTGGTCACTGACATGCGGGCACGACCGGGTTAACCGTACATCATTTCTATCCTGCCAACCCCGGTCGCCATCGGCGTGCATTCCTGCTATGCTACATCCTTCGCGCCGATCGGGATCTTAAACAGCCGATGCATGATTACAGCCTTACAGGAGGAGCGCATATAGCATCTCTTAATTATATTATACTGATAGTGCCACTATTTTGGGCCTAGGATGGTCCTTTGGAAAAGGCTTTTCATGATTAGTCCTAGGAAACTATAGGTTAGGGATGGCTTAGCTAGTGATACTTTATATTCTGTATTACGACCCAACTTTTCTATAGGAGTACTACCGTTGCTTCCGCAATTGACACTAGATAGCTGTCATGACACTAGAATATTCTGTAAGGGTCATTGACCTGGTTAGGAGAAACCAGCCACATTATATATGCAGCCATACAGGGTAGTCTCTATACTAGACATCAGGCACATTCTCATGCAGCAGGGTAGCACGTAGCATTCTAACAAATAGTTAGGCTTTGTCATGATACAACTCATACAATGCACCCACATCCACATGGCAGCAACACACCAAACTAAAGCCGAAACGTACGCCGCCAGTGCACTGAGCGGCTTGGTGATGAGCTCCTTGTGTGATCTGATCAACGCGCCAACGGACAAATCCCACGATATGTGGCACATAATCCCGGCCGGTGAGCGATCCAACTCGTCCACCAGCCGATGGCCCCCTAATAATTCCTCTGATAGACTGGTACATTCTCAAGACATACGTCATCCATTCTTCACGGTATAACCGTGGGTGTGGTGCAAGTTCAAAGGTACAGTAATAAAAGGTGGCCATGGATTAATCAGAGGCGCAGGTAGCACATGCGAACGCATCATCGCGTCCCCGCAGCTGACAAGCTCGGCTCGTAGCCACGCAGCTGCTGCTACGTTGGTCCCAACTCTCTCTCTCTCTCTCTCTCTCTCTCTCTCTCTCTCGTACGCACGCACGCACAATTATTTGGCCATTGGATTCTCAAAAAAATAAAAAATTGGCCATTGCATTGCATGCGAATAGTACCTCCGTGCATCCGAGTTGCTAGATCGATCGATCGCAAAATAATTGCACAGGAGGAGGGGAGCTGACACACATGGATGAATGGATGCCACGGAGGAGAAAAGGTGGCATCCAGCAACGCTAATTAGCGACGTAAACGGATCGACATACGCTGGTGAATATAGTTCGTTGAGTAGGGCCATAGTTGATGGATCGGCCGATGAACCGCGTGTAATTATACCAGGCCACCGCCCACCAGCAACAGTGACAGACAGATCTCTGCTTGCCAAGCAGCAAAAGTCTTAGGAATCTGACTGGAAGTCTGATTCAGACAGGACGTTCAATTATCAAATTAGTTTAGTTGCCATCTTCGAAGCTAGCGAGCGCGCCACATCTTCGGGCCGGGCCGGGCGCGCCACATGTATATCACCGGTCGTACAGGGGCACTGCAGCCCCTACAGTCGCGGACACCGACCGGGCAACGAACGCGCCATCAGTACCATTCCAGGTACAGTGCGCGCGACGGGCGCGGAGGATGGATGATCCGACACTCGCGACCTGCGTGCACTGTCTCCCGAGTGATACCCGACGGAATGGGACGAACGTGTCCGGCCACTGCTAGAGCCGTCGTGGTGTTCAGAGGGGAGATGAGATGGCCATCCTGGTTTTGTGGCTCTGCCGTTTCTCTGCCCGTGCTGCGGCTAAGAACTCGCTGTAACGCTGTTGCGGAGCACGGGCCGACGGCAGGCTGTTTGCCCATGCTGGTGTTGTTCTCTTGGTGATCTCCGTGTCGCGTAGCTTGGCCACGAAGGTTCACCGGCTGATGCCGACGCAGGGTCTCGCCGGTTCCCCTGCGGCGGTGGACTGATCGTTCAAGAAGGGAACGTAACAGCAAGGGACCGGAGCTTCTTGTGTTCTTTATTCATGCATGATGCACGTGAATTTTCACATTTCATTTTTTCGGCTTCAATTAGGAATGTCCGGTGCGTGCTCATTATGCTATGTATCTTCTTGATGCTTTATTTTGGTTATTAAAAATTAGTTTCATAGGAAACTGTGGTGAGGATATCTACAACAGTGTACACAAGTCGGACACAGTAAGAGTCAATCTGTCAATGGATGTGTCCGCGGAAACAGACACATGATACGAATACAAGAAACGGATACAAAGTCTTATATCCCAAGAGCAGGTCCCAAAAGTTGCTAGTCCAACTGTCCATGAAAAGAACATCAACCTCTTCATGGCAAATTCTTTATTGTGCAGCCGACTACTCCCTAGTGGCCGACTCCTCCAACTCGACCGCCAACCACTTGCACATCCTTGCACGATAGGCTTGCACAATCTACG